ATAGATCTATTTCCCCATCCTCATATATAAATATGTTTGCATATGTACGTCTTTATCTAGACCTCTATAAATTCCCTTTTCCTCCCAGCTCTTTCCTCTATTTCCCTTGACTTTCCTCCTGTACCACTATCATGCTCAGTCCCCACCAGGGCTTCAACAGTTCCTCTTTGTTACATTACCCTTCATTATGCCACCACCAACTTTTCAATTAGTTGTTAGGTGCAGCTGAGTCAGTTTGGACTTTTGGTGACCCTGTATCCAACACAGCAAAACAACGCCTGGTCTTGTGTCATCCTCACAATTATTGTGATGCTTGAGCCCACTGTCACAGCCACAGTATCCATTCACTTTGTTGAGGGTCTTCCTCTTTTTCACTGACTCTCTAGTTCATCAAGCCTAGTATCCTTTTCCATATCCCGATATAGGAGGGGTACACCCCCCAAAACAGAATTGCACTGGGTGGTGCAGAGCTTTTGTAGTGTGCATTTTTCCCCTCTAGGTGAGCAAAATCAAGCAACTCACTCTATTAGTGCACCCAGTGACACTGCCTGGGAAGGTTCTCTCTGGTCACAGTGAATTTTTTTGTAAAAGCAGTTTTGCTCAAACCTTGCTTTTAGTGATAGCCAATTTAAGAGAACAGAGTGCAGCTGCAAATTTTGTTTCTTGTTTGGGAAAAATGCCACAGAAACTGTTGTGATGTTCGACTCAGATTACAAGGACAGTGCTATGGGAAAAACTCAAGTGTTTGTGTGGTTTTTTTGTTTCAAAAAAGGTGAAATGTCAATTGATGACAAACCTCATTCTGGATGTCCATCAACTTCCCAAATGTATGAAAATGCCAACTCATAGTACATTTGGAGTTCTTTCCACCAGGTCAGAGTGTTAATCAAGCTTTCTATTTAGAGGTTCTGAAAAGATTGTAACACTGTGTGACAAAAAAGGCCTGATTTGTGGCAGATGGGGGACTGGTTTTGACAATGTACTTACCCACGCCGTCATCTCAGTGCATCAGTTTGGGGCAAAAAAACAACATGCCTCTCTTGCCCCACACACCTTACTCACCTGAGCTCACTCCATGTGACTTTGTTTCTTTGAATGAAGAGGGACATGAAAGTATAGCGATTTGATGACCTAGAAGAGGTGAATTAAAAAACTAGGGAGATGCTGTCAGCCATCCAAGCAGATAAGTTTGAAAAATGTTTCTGTGAATGGAACTGTAGATTTGACAAATGTATTAAGTATAAAGGAGACTACTTTGAAGCTGATAAGGTTGTTTTGTAAAAATAAATTTAAATATATAGATTTGAAAAAAACTCATATGTTAGAAGACTTGACATCCTCACTTCCAAAGAGCATTCTAGCTGTACTTCTTTCAAATCAGATTTTATTTTTCCAAAACAGATTTGTTGTTTTGGCAGGTTACCGTGTTTTCAAGTTGTTGCTAACACCATAATTCAAATGCATCCACTCATATGCAGTCTCCTTATTGATTGACCATGCATCTGAGGTGACTCAAAGTGCCAAGTGTGTTAGGCTGGGTGACAGAGAAACAAGACCAGTGACATTCATATATGTAGAAGAAAGAACTTTAGATCCAAAGAGAACTTTATATCAATAAAGTGGTCCGGTTCAGTCCAACACAAGTTCATGGGTTCAATGCTAGTGGTCCCTCCCAACTCTTGGCCCTGCCAATCAATGAAGGAAAGCAAAGCAGGAAGGCAGGAGGCCACAAGCCAGTGGTTACAGAGTCCTCGAGATCAAAAGTTGTCAGGAACATGGCAAGCCATTGATAGTTCTCAGGGTTGGCAGGCCACATGCACCACTGATCCCAGGACCCAGATACAAGATCTAAACAAGCAGGAAGGCATGGGGCAATAGAGAGGCCAGTTCTCCATAGTCTCTCTCTCTCTCTCTTTTGGCATTTAGACTTTACTGTGAAAATTTTCATCATACAGAAGAGAAGGGCAAATAACATCATGAATTCATATAGCTAATACTGAGATTTAATAATTATTTACTTTTTCTTTTCTAAATTAATTTAAATTATGAGTATTTTATTCTAATACATAACTAAAAATTAAACACATTTTCATATGTAACCACAGTACCACATTTAACAAAATTATAAATAATTTCAGAAAACTATTCAATCCCAAACCTGAGTCTATTCTGACTCATAGTGACCCTGTATATGTTTTGTTTTATACAGGGCACACCTTCATGAAAGTTTCATTGGGCTGTGTCCTTACTGAAAGGTTGGACCTTCACCAATACCTTCCCATAAGTGGACCAAAAAACCTATCACAGTCTACGCCTTGTCAACTGGCACTCGTGCACAACTCTTTAACCATACATAATTCCCAAAGACATTAATAAAGTGAGACATCCACCTAACAAGATACAATTAACAAGCATAAAATTGAGAATGCAACATACCCATTTGTATCTTATAAGTAAACAAAATGAAAACATTTGATGCCTAACAATTTCAAGTCTGTGAACACTTATATTTGAATCCTATATAAAAATCTCCCCTACACTCTCTTCCTTTGGGAAAAGAGAAAACTATTTAGCAGGGTTCCTCCCTTATTCCACTTATTTGAGAAACCCAGGAAAGTTTATCTCCCCTCATTGTGGATATCCAATTTCTAAATCCTATCAACCCAGTATTCAGAGGAGACAAGCATGTTCTTTGATGTGAAGAATTTTAGGTAGTTGCTTAGGAACAGGGGGTTTACCCTTCCATGCCTGCAAAGGCCATAAAGGTGGTTGGAAAGACATCAGGCAGCTATTAGATGCTTATGAAGACCCCAAGCTAAGCATGCTCATACCCAAGCCCCCAAGTCAGGTGGCAGGTACACGTGAGCGGTCCAAACTAGGCCCAGGCTCATGACATCACCCAGGTGGGCTCAACCCAGCGAATGGGGTCAACTAATACCTTCAACCAGGCCTGCCCCAAGTCAGGGGGTGGGCTAGAATAAAGGCAGGGAACACTCTCTGGCCCCTGAGCTCTTTACCCTATTACTGGTCAGTGGCAGGTCAGAGGGTTGGGGTGCACACATGCTGCCTGGGCGTACCCCTT